TATAATATATATATATATATATATTATATATATATTTAGGTTTTTTGGGTTTTATTTTGGAAAAGACAACTGTTGCTATAATTAGAGTTTAGCTTTATTTACAACGTGATATATGCTGTAAAATGATAAAAATTATAAGCTATAACATGTAGTATTTTCCTTGGTATGTTAAAATGAATGTTGACATATATTTTAGATACATATTTTTATTCCCTTATTTTTAAACTAATTTCCTAAACTTATGACCATATAATTTATAACGCAATGTTTTATCTCACAGCAGTTTTTTTCGAAAGACTCAGTAGTTTTTTCTAGTTGATCTCACAGCTTCCTCAACCCTTAAGTCTAAGCACCCACATGTACTCACTCACACTCACTCACTCACTCACTCTTCACCTCATTAAGATTTTCTAGTTTATCACCTAAAAATCATTAGCCCTCATCTAAAAAAAACTCGTCTATTTTGAGATACTCGCGAACACTCACTAACTCACACTCTTACATGAACATTCTCCTGAAGATCAGAACACTCAATCTTCATTTACAAAATGACTCAGAGAAATAAATCCTCCATATCATCTGAAGGATTCATGCTCAAATCTCCTAAACTCCCGTAGGATCTGCCGACAAGCTTCCTGAAGCTGGATACTGAAGGCCGCGTCCTGCGCTTCGACTCTTTTTCCAAGACCGTGAGCGCCGGAATACGGCTAGGATACGTTACAGGTCCTCAACCTCTGATTGATATTATGACAGCGGATATTATGTCCTCTGTTCTTCACACCCCTAACTTTTCTCAGGTGTGTATGAGTCTGTGTACTTACCTATAAGTTCTCAGTCACAGCTCCTGGCTGTGTTGCTACTAGGTTCACTCTCTCGCGGTTCTAAGAGCATTATCATATCTCTTCTTTAAGCTATGTATGTACCCAGCCACTACTACCTCACTCTCCAGATTCTTCCACATCCTGACAACTCTAAAGCTGAAGAAATACTTCTAACCTCGCTATGACTCATCTGAGTTTTCAGCTTCCGGTTGTGTCTTCCAGTTCCTGTATCCCATCTCTGAAATATTTTGTCCCTGTTCACCTTCTCACTTCCTCTCAGTATTTTATACATCGTTATAATGTTTTCCCTATCCCTTCTGTTCTTCAGTGTCATCAGGTTGAGTGTGAGTGTGAGCGTGAGTGTGAGTATGAGTGTGTGTGTGTGTGTGTGTGTGTGTGTGTGTGTGTGTGTGTGTGTGTGTGTGTGTGTGTGTGTGGTGTGCGTGTGTGTGTGTGTGTGTGTGTGTGTGTGTGTGTGTGTGTGTATGTGTGTGAGTGTGTGTGTGTGTGTGTGTGAGTGTGTGTGTGTGTGTGTGTGTGTGTGTGTGTGTGTGTGAGTATGAGTGTGTGTGTGTGTGTGTGTGTGTGTGTGTGTGTGTGTGTGTGTGTGTGTGTGTGTGTGTGTGTGTGCGTGTGTGTGTGTGTGTATGTGTGTGTATGCGCGCGCGCATGAATGTAACTAGTTTCCTCACGCATTTCGATGTAATGGTTAATTAGTCTGCTGAGCTCCTCCTTCTGTTGGTACAATGAAATCACTAATAATACCCTTAACAACACCTGTAACTAAACCTCTGTCTAAACCGGTGACTAAATCTGTGATCAATCTCGTATGTAAACCACTAGCTGAAATTCTGTCCAAGTCACTGTCTGAATCCGTAACTCAATCGGAGACCAAATTTGAATGAACTGACAACAAAATTTGGTTAATTCACTTATTAAATCATTGAATCTATCTCACCTGCTTCCCTCTCCCCTTCCCACATCAAGAAGCTTCTAGCTCAGCTTTAAAAAGTTATCTCCCCTTGTTTTAAGGATTAAAGTATTTTGATGGAAACCAGTGAATTAAAGCCATATTAGGAATCTTGCGGTAGACACGTAACAAATTACAGCATCTTTGTTTTATTAAGATCTTCTCTAGCTTTTCCTTTTCCTTCAGACTCCTCAATGCTTTCTTACCTTTCATCTCTCTTACATTCTCCCTCTCCCCTTCTTAATTTCTCTCTCCCTCTCTTTTCCATTCTCAGTTTTTTCTCTCCTTTGTTTTCCTAAGGCTCAACACACTCCTTCATTCATCCATACTCTTAAGCTACTATCATATTTTTGTTTCATTTAATCTCTACTACTTCCTACTCCTGCAGGTGATAGTGAGTGAGTTGCTGAATAAGTGGGGCCACCAGGGATACCTGAATCACGTGTACAGCTTACGTGAAGAGTACCGCAAAAAGCGTGATGTTATGCAGAAGGCTGCGGAAAAGCACCTCGCAGGTTAGTCAATTCACAAAATGTATTATTTAGGAATAAAATTCATAACGCATCCTGATACACACAAATCACAAGACAGCCCTTATAACACATTAACCACAGTTAAGGGAAAATAATAACAGGAACAATTACAAGAGAGAGTAAATACGGGAAACAAGCGTTCATGAACCTAAAGGGGCAAAACTAATATACTGCAT